GCTTGGAACTACATTTGATTCAATTTACTTTATTATTTGGCCGCAATTTCTTTTTCTTTTTAAGTTTTCAGTTACGTCAATGGCATTTTGCAGGCCATTCGACTTAAGTATCTGCATCCAGATGGTGAACTCCAAAACTATGCTTTGAATATTATTGGTATGCTTCACGGCGATACATCAGTTGACGCCCATGCACTGGTATTCATACAAGAACTTGGATTTTCAGAACTTTCTTTTTGCTTTTGTATTCAGGACGGACAGAAAATAATGTTCCATGTTACTGTTTTACATTTGAAAAACTGAAAAGAAAAAAAATTTCCAATTTCATTTATTGATACTGTACTCACATACACCAAATACTCTCCTCCCTCAAATGGATCTGGGGCACACATATAATCTCACAACTTCACTTTCAATATTTAAGGTAGTAGATTAAGATATTTTCCTTTTAACTGTTAATTGATTTTCCATCTTAGGGATGTTTTTCGATTTCCTCAAATCAGTAAAAGAGCCTTTCCTTTGGGAACAGGCCCAACTCCAGAGATATAGACTATTTTGCATCCAAAAACTTTTGTGGGTATATGAGTAAAATATAACCTGGTTATAACTCTTCTTCCAACTGCTATAGACACATATATGAAAGAAGTATTGTTATTATTAGAAAGAAATGGAGAATGAATTTAGTAAAGTTTGCTTAAAATGAAAAATAAACACAGAGAAATTCTCTTTAACAGTAGGAAGCCTACCTCCTTACAAAGTAGCTAAGGGAACTCCGGGATGCAAACCACGTGCCTTAACCTAAGGCAACACTCAAAACAACAATCTATTCCAAATAAAGTGGAGTGGTTGAAGGCTCCCTAGAAGATAAAAGTTCTCTTTTGGATTGCAGTTATGGATAATGTTCAGGAAATGGTAAATTAGACCAAAGGATATAAGGATGAACTACACCATTCATAATTAATTGTCTATTTGCTTTTATACTTAGAAAACCTATATGTATAGTGTTGTAATATTAATAAAATATATATAAATGATTCTTGTCGTGGTATCAGAGTTTTAAACTAAAAATCTTATATTTTTTTTACAAAATCTTACTTGGCCTTTATTACCAAAATAAAAAATCCTAAAAGAGTCAGCCTTCATTGCCAGCCACCACAACCCTCGCCGTCGGCCACCACAGATTGACTACCTCCACCACAAGCTGACATCGTAGCTCGTCATATCCACCAAAATCGGCAGATCTAGTTTGCCCAGCCCAGCCACACAAAACCCTAAATGCAGTCACACAATCCGCCCAGACGTGCAACCCTAGTGGCCATCATCTGAGCATCCCTCATCCATGGTCACCTCCAGCTGCACATCCAGATGGAACCACACTGTGAACAAATATAGCTGCACCACAAATATCATCCCTTTCGCGGATGCGTGACGTTGCTCTCTCTAGCAAATGTGAGCTTGGTCTCTGCTCATGCGGTCTCTGTTGACCAATGGAATCTTTGTTCAGGCACAACCCTAGCCGTTGTGCAACTCTCTTGGTCGCACACCTCAGTCCTCTGCGCACCACTTGCACTTGCCTCTGCTCTGAGCAGACGCAGATAACAGACTCAGGTACAATACTTTCTGTAGATCGATGCTCGCGGCGAATAGTAGTCACAAACGAATGGCCTGCTGCTCCTGCCGTGCCCATGTGTAGAATTGAGTTCCTGTTCCTGATCTTAGTTGACTTAGTGAGTTTGTAGTTCTAGTTGACTTAGTGAATTGATTCAGTGAGTTTCTGGTTTGAGTTGACTCATTGAGTTGACCCAATGATTTAGTTTAGGACCAGATCAATTGGAAGCTGTGGACTCACATAACCATGTGTTTTGAGTAAAATCATTCTGAGAATTTTCCTTCTTGACATTGATTAGTTTACAATTCTTAAAAAATGTTGGAGGCAATCCTGTAATCACATTCTTTTTTAGTGTCAAATGGTTTTTAATATTTGGACCCTGATGTACAGCCTACTAAGTATCAATTGGGTTATGGCGGGATTGCTTAGGGAAGAATTGTGTGCTTGGGTGAGCTTATGTAAATAAAGAGTATAATGGTGAATTACACCTTTTGTAATTAATTGTTTGTTTCTTTTTTTTTTTTTTCAAGAAAACCTGTATATGTAGGGTTGTAATATACAATAAACTATATATCAACCATTCCTAACAAATAGACTTAATACTAATAATATGCTTTAATTTCATATACCGAATCGTGTCTTGTCACCTAGGGTTTCTGTAATGTGCGATAACCCAAATCGTGTCTTGTCACTTGTCTCATGGTAGGCTTACGCAATGATATAGTCTTGTATTAGCATCCCCTCTCTTGAGAACTCTCTTGACATACTTGTGCTATTTAGGTTAATGCTTAGAATCTGAAAAATTTCATCTTTAACATTTCCTTGATCTCAGAAATATACTAATGGCGGACTTCAATAAATCTTCTTACATATTAAAGAATGCAGTTAATGTAGTTTCCCTTGATTTGCCTTTTTTACACTTTAGTTATCTCATATGTGTTGCTATATTGGAACCCACTGAATGTCTCACCTAATTTCTTGAAGGCATGCGTTCTCTACATCTTACGAGTAGGTGTCACCGATCAAATGTTGGAACCTACTCAAAGGAGCTTCTCTGTGGTCCTAGGAAAGCAGGTCTGCTAAGTGACTCACAGTAGGCTTTATTTGTTTTTGAGTTGCTGTTCTCCTTGATTTTCTGATAGCTTCTACCATGGTACAATTAATGAAGTCAGGTTCTTTCTTAAAACAATTGCAGCTTCAGTCTCCAGATGCTAGTCCATCCATGAAAATTGCTGCTCTTCGCACCTTGTCATATACCTTAAAAACACTGGGAGAAGTAAGAGTTACTACTTTAAATTTTGTTTTATTGTTAATACGCTCCTCGTGGTAATTCTGCATGATAACATGCTGTTCACCAAATAATTAATGACATATCAAACTTGCATTGGCAAAATTTTTATATTGAACAATCTGCTTGATATAACAAAGTGATTCTTTTTCTTCGACAAGAAAATTATAACTGTAAACATGAATCTCATTAAGATGAAATGCTTATGTATTGATCATCTTTGAGCCTCATTTGTTGCTTAT